GCTCCTACAGAAAAGCTGGGATAATCCTGACTTCTGTCATCAGTGACTGTACGACAGCTGAAAAGCAGCAATTCTAACTCGTCCTCCCACAAGGCTTTCTGATTAATATCCTATTTGCTTGATTTCTTTTGCATTTGGAAGTCCTGTAACATTATCCAGTAGTGGCTTCATATAAATGAACTAAATAGTGGTAGTTGAAATGAGTTATAAAAATAAGTGTTCCTCAAAATAATTTGACAGCAGTATTAGTTTATAAAGTCAGTTTACATCATTTTACTTTCCTTATTAAAACAGAGTAAGGATGCAAATTTGAACGGCAAGACTACATTTAAAGAATTGCAATTCCACTTTTAGAAAATTTAAACTTTTACAAAGTCGTAGACATGTCGCTAGTTAGTTATTTTAGGCACCTTGGAAGTAGTCATCCATACACTGACACTATACTAGAAGTTCTAGCAATCATAGGACTGGAAAGGATATAGTCCTGCCATGAGTGCAGGGGACTGAACTAAGTATTATCAGACCATACCTGACAGGTGTTTGCCTAAGCTGCTCTTAAAAATTTCCAATGATGGAGATTCCAGAACCTCCGCAAGCAATTCAGTGCTTAACCACCCTGACAGTTAGGAAGTTTTTCCTAATGTCCAATCTAAACCTCCCTTGCTGCATTTTAAGCCCATTGCTTCTTGTGCTCTCCTCAGAGGTTATAAAGAACAATTTTTCTTCCTCCTCCTTGTGACAACCTTTTATATACTTGAAAACTGTTATGGCCCTTCTTAGTCTTCTCTTTTCCAGACTAAACAAACCCAATTTTTTCAATCTTCCTTCATGGGTCATATTTTCTCAACCTTTAATAATTTTTGTTGCTCTTCTTTGGACTTTCTCCAATTTGTCCACATCTTTCCTGAAATGTGGAGCCCAGAACCGGACACAATACTCCAGTTGAACCTAATCAGCGCGGAGTAGAGCGGAAGAATTACTTCTCATGTCTTGCTTATAACACTCCTCTAATACATCCCAGAATAATGCTTTCTTTTTTTGCAACAGTGTTACACTGTTGACTCACATTTAGCTTGTGTTTCACTACGACCCCCAGATCCCTTTCCACAGTACTCCTTCCAAGGGAGTCATTTCCCATTTTGTATGCATGCGACTGCTTGTTCCTTCCTAAGTAGGATACTTTGCATTTGTCCTTATTGAATTCATCCTATTTACTGCAGACCATTTCTCCAGTTTGCCCAGATCATTTTGAATTATAATCCTGTCCTTCAAAGCACTGACAACCCCTCCCAGCTTGGTATCATCCACAAACTTTTAAGTGTACTCTCTATGCCATTATCTAAATCACTGATGAAGATATTGAACAGAACTGGACCCAGAACTGATCCCTGCGGGACCCCACTCGTTATTCCCTTCCAGCATGACTGTGAACCACTAATAACTACTCTCTGGGAACAGGTTTCAGAGCAGCAGCCATGTTAGTCTGTATCCGCAAAAAGAAAAGGAGTACTTGTGGCACCTTAGAGACTAACAAATGTATTTGAGCATAAGCTTTCGTGAGCTACAGCTCACTTCATCGGATGCATGCAGTGGAAAATACAGTGGGGAGATTTATATAGACAGAGAACATGAAACCATTGGGTAATTTTTTCCACTGTATTTTCCACTGCATGCATCCGATGAAGTGAGCTGTAGCTCACAAAAGCTTACGCTCAAATAAATTTGTTAGTCTCTAAGGTGCCACAAGTACTCCTTTTCTTTCTCTGGGAACAGTTTTCCAACCAATCTGAACCTCATACTGATTTAAACCTAATATTAACATTGCCTTGACTGTGTACGAATTTCAAGAAACGCTGAAAGACTAAACATCCTATCATCATTCATTTGGTCAATTACATATGAGTAACTGCTAAAACTGCTCAAAATCAAAAAGTATAAATAATCCTTAGAGCTAAAATTTTCAGATGGAGCTGGTGAATTTAGTCATTTCTGAAGTACTAACCCCCATTCCATAAATATTAGCATCATGCTTATGTTCGTTTAAAAGGGAGTTTTAAATATTATCAAGTTCACTAAGAAACATTAAATAAGCTAGTTAACATTGGGTGTAGAAGAAAACAAAAATGCATACTCACTGTTAAGCCAGTTTCTTCCCCCTAGAGCCTAAGTGGCAATAATAAACTGTGCTTATTCATCACAACAGCTGCTGTATACTGTTAACCAGCCAAAGTGCACACAACTAATCATTTGTCTTACACTTCAAATAATACAAATCAAGGAATCAAAATATAATCAATAATAATATAAATCAAAATATTCAAAGAACGACTATTTACATTTGAGTATTGTCCAATTCTGAGAAAAACACTACTAATACCAAGATCTAGGATGACTACTATAAACTGAACAAGTAACATTACTCTTCCTAAAGAATACACACTCCTGTCAACAATCTGGAAATCTTATATTAAAGTCTATCCAAAGTCACTGATCAGTGCCTTTTCTTGGCATGCAGCAGGAGCGGATTTACCATGAAACAAACCATGCAGAGGCACGGGGCCCTCAACGACAGGAGGGCCCCCAAAATGCAGGACAAATATCTAACAACCTGCCCCTGAGTCACGGCCGGTGGTGCAGCAGGGCTCAGGCAGGCAGGCTGCTTGCATGCTGTGGCCGGTGGCCCCATGGCCCTCCTGGAAGCAGCTGGCGGTTGGCACATCTCTGCATGCCCCTGGCAGGGAGGAGGGAGGCGGCTCTGCACTGTACCGCTACCCCCTCCCCACAAGGGGCACAGAGACATGCCAGCAGCAGGGCTAAGGCGGCTCCCTGCCTCCCTCCCTCCACACTGCTTTGCTCCCGGAAGCGGCTGGCATATCCCTGCGGCCCCTTGGGGGTGTAGGTGTCTGTGTGCTGCCCCTGCCCCGAGTGCCGACTCCACAGCTCCCTTTGTCTGGGAACTGCGGCCAATGGGAACTGTGGGGGCGGTGCCTGCAGGCAGCAGCACGCAGAGATCCCGTTGCCTCCCCCACCTAGGAGCCGCTGCCAGAGGGGTGTGTGTGCCAGTCACTTTGGGAGCCAGGCCACCTGAGGTAAGCGCTGCCCCCCTCCTGCACCTAACCCCCAGCCCAGAGCCTGCACCCCACACCCAAACTTCCTCCCAGAGTTGCACCCCTCCCCCTACACTCCAACCTCCCCTGCCCCAGCCCAGAGCCCACACCCAGCACCCAAACTTCTTCCCAGAGCACATCCCCTGCAGCCCCTCCTGCACCCCAACCCCGTCCCAATCAAGGTACCTCACTTTATTTTCATTTACTTCCCATTACTTATAATATAGGAGGAGGATGAAGAGAAAAAGAATGAAAAATGGGGCAGGGGAGATGAGAGAATGTTTTCTTGGCTGGGTCACAAGGGGGGGCCCTCTGAAAATGAAACTGTGCATAGGGCCTCACTAACTCCAAGTCCACCACTGGCAGGCAGCTGTCATCTCAGAAACTAATCAAATCTTGCACAGAAAGTATTACTGTAGCTATGGTCTAATTCATGGAATTTTAAAGAGGTGAAGGAAACTATATTAACTATGTCATTGCCCTTGCACAGCAAAGACAGGAGGCATATTTCTATGACCTATGAATAATACAAGTAGTACACACACAAATGGAACAGAAAACATTCAGAAGTTTTGAATTTTAAGGGGAACAGCCTGTTCAAGCAAAAAAGCGCATGAAAAAGGATGCTTTCTCTCTCCCCACCCTGCTTTTTTTTTTTTTTTTTTTTAAATGGGGAAAAGGCATTCCTCCAAGGATACTTCATGTGATTTGACATCCTTTCAAGTTTATTTTTGGGACTACCTAGTTTAGTAGCATCCATCTGAGAAACAGCTTATATGCAAAACATCATATTTCTGTACAATTTTAATTATCCACCCAAAGTTTTGCATACTTGGCCAATAACCTGAAGTACTTTTCTATAACTAGGACATGCCTACAAGAGAAAACTGTACGGGCTTAATGAAAAATGTGATTTAAAACCAATTTATAGTTAAAGTGGTGGAAAATGATGGGAACACTTATTCTGGTATAAAACTAGCTTATTATGATTTTAAATTGATAAATCTATTTATGCTAAATCAAAATAAGCAGCTCTTAAACTGAAGTAAATGACCACACAGAGGTTTGAGTCAATTTAAATCAGTTTTTAAAAAAAATCAATTTAAGCTAAACCAGTCAAAACTTCCTTATTTAGACAAAGCCTACACTTTTTCAAAGTTTCATGCCTTTGAAAAAGAACCAATAGTACTGTATTTTTACCGTAGACTACAAAGCAAACTGCCTTATATTCTATTTCATTTAGCTCTTTAAAAACACAAAGTTAATAATGGATACACTACCTTGAGATACCAGGCAGCAAAAATCTTAGAAAGATGCCCTCTCCTAAGAGCACTACTCATTGTGCTTATTGTTGAAGACCAGTTTTCTTCTTTAAAAACTAACAATGGGGAGGGGGAAAGGTTTGAGTTCCACAGAGTCCATATACTCTAGTTGTGCCATAATCAACAGCAACTCCCATCTGGCTATTGAATCAGAGGTCCAAGTAGTTTCACCGAGTCCAACAAATTGTGAAAATGATTTCTTCATGAAACTGCAATGGGAATTATGTAACCACCCCATACTCTTCCCCCCCCCCCCCCCCCAATTTTAAACTTAAACAGCTTTTGCAAGTCTATAAGTAAGCCTATCAGTGCTCAAAATTAAAAACCTACAGGTCAATAACTGTATAATTAATACTGTCCATCACTTTAGTATTTTTTCAGAGTGTGTGTTTTCCAGAGGCGATTTTGAGGAACTTGAAGCAAAAATGCATGTGCATTAGTACATTCAGTTTATACATACAGCCATATACACAAATCTTCTTGATGATAAAATGCAGTCATCCCTTAAATTCTCGAAATATCCATAAATAAATTCAGAATGCAGTTATTTCAAAATGGAAAATATTACTACCATTGTTCAATATCCTGTTTATTCAACTGCTGACGCTACCACTCTAACACAAGTTCCAGTCAACTGTTACGTCGCTGGAGAAGACATGTAGGATGCTCAAAGTTATCATCATCTTCTCTTCTGACTACCCAGGTCAGCTAAATGGAAACAGCAGAGACAGGTTTCAAGATAACACTGCAAGAAAACATTGCTAACTCAAAAACCGTACAAGTACTTTGTATTGTTTTGTAGATAGCATTTAGCACTACAGAATCTAACGATTTATAGATCTTGCATACTCTGGGGAGAATTTGGAAAGGAGGAGGAGAGGGGAAGATGTTGCACTGAAATCAGAGGAAAAGCACTGAAACGCAGAGTTTTTATATTAAAATGTATGAAAGGAGTATACAGACACAGTATTCTGGCTTTCCTTTAGTTATTGCCATTACAAGAAAAAAAATTTGTGAAATTAGTGACCAATTTATTTTTCCATCCCTTCTCTCATACATGTTTATTTGAAAAACAGAATGTCACTTTTTGACACAAGACAAACATCCAGTTTTAAAAGCTTTACTTGGATGGCTGTGGAAATAATACATAAATTAATATTCTGAAGCCGATTGCAAATTCTGGTTATAATTCATGAATATTTCTACACCACATCACTTGGCTATCTTATTGACAGGTCTGCAACAACAGCTCTGATTATAAATCAGTGTAATAGGATTGTCACACTGCACTGCTCTTCCATGCACTCTGCTTAAACTCTTCTCCAGTAAGGGAATTGCTGCATTCTCTCTGCATCTAAGTGATCCGTTAGCAGCTTTTCAAGATTTATTTTCTCTGTCTAATCACTCCACTCCTGCAGTCTTCAAAATCAGCTGCATCATGTAATCCTGGTAGTGAAGAATTTTATGCAGAAGGGTTAAATTAAATTGTGGAAGTCTTGAAGCATCTTACTCATCTTAGTGTAGTAAGATTCTTCTGTTTAAAATTATTTCACATCTTGAACCAAACAAGTAATTTAGAACCTACTTTTAATGGAAAAAATATTATGTAGAATTCCTGATATAAAGCTACATACAGTTATAATCCCATCATGGAGTTTGAGAAACACAACTATTCAAGTGTTGCTCTCGTAGCTCAGGTCCTCATTAAGCTACCCAAGATAAAATGGTTGCCTTGGTTGGGTGCATACGGTTTCTAATATGCTTCTAACTACTAAATTCCATGATGCAGCCTTCATAATTAAATTAACTGCTAGAAAATCAGAGTATCACTTTTCAATATTGCAAGTGAGATTTTGCTTAAAGTGTTATTTTTGTGCAATGCCAATGGGAACCTATTTGGGCACGATTTTATTAATGGCATGTCTTGTCAGTCCAGAGCCACAATGCATGCCTTTTCAAAAGAGGTAAAATACCTATAAGGCATTCAAAGAAAGAAAGCTTATTTTGGGATTTTGAACAAGGGGCACAATGACAAAAGGGCTTCAACTTCAAATGGAATCTGAGCCCACAGATACAATTTTAACACCTGAACTACTAACTTTTGGTAAGTCATCTGCATATTGTGAAGCATGTGCCCAGAAGACAGTGATGACACCACCATATTCATAGCACAGACTTCTCAGACTCCACAATGGGCCACAGACTTGCCAGCTTCAGTAACAATGACATACGTTTTGCTGACCTCCCAGCTTCATGCGAACGGGACAAATGTCGGAACAGAGTAACACCACACCCAAGTGGGGACGCCATTGTCTGCCACCATGACCACGCACCCAGCTGGGCACCGTGTGTGGCAAGCCCCACTCCACTACTGTGCCGAGAGGTGGGCACCGTACCCGGCAGAGCCCACCACGCTGATTTCCACACCCAGGGACATCGGGCCTGCCAGTCATCCCCAGAGTGACCCCGGCTGCCCTGCAACTTCTGCATCCTCCTATCCCAGTCTCCGTGTGGACGCCCCAGCGGGCAGCAGCAGCAAGCCGCCAGCCGGCGGGGGCCCGGGCACCGCTGTATCGGGGCTTTACCTCTCCTCCCCGCGCCCCAGCCTCCAGCTCTGCCGGCCGGCAATCCCGCGCCCCTGAGGCGACGCCGGGCTCCCCCAGCTCCTCAGCGCCTGGCAATGGCGGCGGCCCCGCTCCCCCTCCCAGCTCCTCGCTCACTGGCTGCGCTGCTTCATGTGACCGAACAAAACCCTCCTCAGCGCAGCCCTTTGTGTCCGGCCGGGCCGGGTCAGCGCGGAAGCCACCCGCCTGCCCGCGCGGGGCTCCGGGGGAGCCCGCTCAGCCCGGCCGCAGCGCCGCCTCCCCCGCTTCGCCTCCCCGCCTGCCCACCTACCCTGCGAGGGCAGCCGGGGCCGAGTCCCTTTGCCGCACCAGCTCGGCGACGGCGGCGGCCATGTTCCCTGATGCGGCAGGATGGAGGGGACGCCCCCGAGCCGCTAGGGCAGTCGGTTCGCCCCCACTCGGGTCGTCGTCCCCCCCCCGCACGCGCGGTCCACCCTTTCCCCGCGCGCCCCCTCCTGCAGAGAACCACCCTCCCCCACTGTCAGCGCCGGGAAAAAAATTCCATATCGAGAAACTCACGGGCTCGCCAGGGTGTGCGTCACACCGCGGTTACGTCCCACGCTCAGCGTCGTGACGTCATCGCGCAACTCCCCGCCCCCCCCAGTAACACACACGGCCCTCTGGTGAAGAAACACGCATGCGTTTAACTTTCCCGCTTCAGCACGTCGTAGAGCCCCAGCGTCCCAGAGGCATCGGGCGAAAGGCACCCTTGTTTGGCTGAGGTGTCGGTGGGACGCACACAATTCCACACTCCCCAGGCTTGCGGTTGGGGTGGGGGTTACCAATTTTGGTTGGACAAATTCCTGGAAGTTTCATCACATGACATTATCTTTAATTAATCCTGGAGGGTTGGCAACCCTCCCCCACAGGCTGACTAGCCCTTTCAAGAGTACTTCTTATACAGGGCTAGCGTCCCTTGGGAGCTGGAGTTACCTGCACTTCATCATCCCATGGCGTTCTCTCACTTATAGAGGTGAAAGAGTTCCTTCAGCCATATAAGTTGAGACAGCAAGGTTGGAACAAGAGTTACCCACAGGGCTCAGGCCCTCAGCAGTTTGTTTCCTGCTTGAGTGATTTTTTTGTGTCCTTCATTTTGGCTCTTTCTTGGATGATCATATGTCCCATTTTGGCCAAGGTAGGCTGTTTAGTAAGTCCTGTCCCGGCCATCCTGACTTTTATTGGCAAAAGTGGGTATTTGTCCTATTTGCTCTTGCCAACTTCAGTTGGCAAGAACAAACTTTTGTCAAAAAAGTGGGGTGCAGAAGACAGTGTGGGGAGCAAGCAGAGATGCCAACCATACATAGGGGGGAGAGTTTCAGCACGCAGGGGGCCGACAGGGTCCAAGACTAGCAACAGGCTCATGGGAGGGGTCCAGCAAGTGCCTGAGGCCAATCCCTTGGGGGAGGGGTGAGGGAGGCAGGAGAAAAAGAGGGCACAAAGCCCCACACTGTGTCCCATTTTCCCTTTGGAAAGTATGGTCACCCTAGCTCTTTGTGAGAGCTGCCAAGTTTTGTACAGCTCCCTGGGCAGTGGCATTGGAACAATTTGTATAGTAGGGTTGCTGAAAGCCATTGAGCAAAACTGTAAACCCTGTATATGATGATAACCACTTAAGCCAGGGGGTATTGCTGCACCCCCAGCATGCCTGTCCATGGATGACAATTTAAGCAAATTAGTGAATGAACTAAATTGCATATAAGTAAACTCCAGCTTCAACAAATACTGTGTTTACTTCATGCTTGCGTAGCCCCAGTGGATTAAGCTCTGTGTTCATTTACAGGGTGGCAGCAGGGAAGCATAGCTCTGCCAGTCTGCCTCAGCCCAGTTCTGCACAGAACTTCCTCTTAAAGGGGGACAGACAGTTCAGTCTCCATAGCCCACCAAGCTCCTGACCTGCTAGGGAAAGGGGATTTGTGAAATAGGAACTAAGACACAAACTCATTTCATATGGGGACAACTTTTAATCTCTACTGAGCTAGGCTGAATTCAAACTGGAGGCCTGCAGTTGCCTGAGGCACCCAGCCCTCTGCTAAATTCTGGCAGTTTTGTGTACTTATACAAAACAGCTCTTCCACCAGCTGCACACACAAGTAACAAACATCTCACACACACTACCCTCCATCTTCTTCAAATATTTCCTATAATGTGTGTTCCACCCTATTCTTAGAGGGACAGCTCCAACTAACCAAAATATAGCCACTAAAAATACAACACAAATATTAACACAACAGCCACATTCATCTCTAAATATATTATTTTGCAATATAAAACCATGTCAACAACTATTTGAAGGTCATCACATTTGTTCACACATATTACCCCCAGGATCAGTTGCCAGGTATGATCCCATAACTTTCAGCTGTATAGCACAAACCCCTATAGCTCTAGATACAGAAGCAACACCTGGGGAAAAGATAGTTATACTTCAGGAAAATCAGCCTATTGAGGGAAAACACAACACACTTTGTCACTGCTACACAGTTATTTGTAAACTAGAATGTTTGGTATTAATATTTCTGGGTTCTCAGTATTGCAAACTCTCACAAATTTATCACAAGTATAATGATATTTGGTGTTTTTCTTAAAGCCTCAGCTCATGGCCACTAGTTATTACATGAGAATCTCATTCTTTTTTAAATAAGTTACTAGCCTTCATGTTTGTAAAAGAAAAACCTTGAAAATGTAGTCTGAGTATACCTTCCAGACCACAAGGGAAAAAAAAGGAAGCAAATAAAAAGAATGCAGAACCTTGTTTGGTTTTTTTTTTTTGTTTGGTTGATTTGGTAAATCTCATGATTTTAGATCTCTTAATTTTAACAAGCCCTGAGTCAGAATTTTTAAATGTTTCAGTTTGGCAATACTGTACTCCTCGCTCCGGGAAGAGAGAAAGGATTATATCAATAGAAATGCCTATTTTTAAGTCATGTGCAGAGACTGAACTTGGAATATCAAAGAATAAGCTACAACCACTTGAGCTAAAGGACCAAGCTCAGTACAATAGCAGACCCAGAAAGCTCTCTCTGTGGCCTACCCGCTAGAAAGATCCACTGTGTTAGCATGAGTTAGACAAGCATAAAGTCAGAGCTAGTTCATCAAAAGGCAATGTAGTAAATGATTGAGATGTAGGCTTGTCATGTTAAAAATCTGGGTTCTCATGCCTAGAGGTGCTTACAGTGACAGTCCTGTATCGCAGCAGAATGAGCAAATGATAGTCTTCATAAAGGTTGGGGGTGGAGGTAGGCCTTGTTTAAGAAGGGTTGATAAATACACAGAAATATTAAGAACTGTTAATAAAAGAGCAAGTAGTAGTGCATGGATTCTTCTCATGTAGTTCAATACACCTTCCTGTAGGCTACAAGGTGTTGTATGAGGGAGTTTCTCATCAAAAATGCATGCAATATGTGACACTTGGAGAGGTCTGGTAGTTGTTGTAGATTTCATCCAACATTTTTGGCCTTCACTGGTGGAGAGCTATGGGCAGGTTTGGGGATTGCTGCCCGCACAAACAATGAGGGAGACACTTAGCACTGTGGCTGGAGAGTTCCTCTCTTATCCTCAGGTTAATGGCCTTTTCTAAAACAAAACAGTCCATGAGGAAACTGTTTTTCCAAACAGATTCAATTAGCAGTTTAGGATGACCCTTTCCACACACACATCAGGCTACTCTCTTCTTTGGCATCAAGTTCTATCCCAAAAGGCTCTACCACACAGTTATGTCAGATAAGAAAAGTGTGTTTGGAAGTAAAGGATCATAAAGCATGACTCCTGGAAAAAAGTTTTAAGCCATGCAGAATGGTTTTCCAAAATCTTAAAACAGGTGTAGAGAAAGGCTATTAGGATGAGCTGAGGAATGGAAAACCTACCTTATGAGAGGAGACTCAAAGAGTTTGGCTTGTTTAGCTTAACCAAAAGAAGTCTGAGAGGAGATACATCAGAGAGATTAATACCAGGGAGGGAGAAGAGTTATTTAATTAAGTGCCAATGTGGACACAAGGACAAATGGATATAAACTAGCCAGCAATAAATTTAGGCTTGAAATTAGATGAAGGTTTCTAACTATCAGAGGAGCGAAGTTCTATAACAGCCTTCCAAGAGAAGGGGCGGGGGAACCTAACTGGCTTCAAGACTGAGCTTGTAAGTTTATGGAGGGGATGGTATGATGAGACTGCCTACAACAGCATGTAGGCTATCTGCGTCTGCTAGCAGAAAATATCACCAATAACTGGTGATGGGACACTAGATGAGGAGGGCTCCCAGTTACTACAGAACATTTTTTCCCAAGTGTTTGTCTGGTGGGTCTTGCCCACATGCTCAAGGTCTAACTGATTGCCATATTCGTTGTTAGGAAGGAATTTCCCCCCGGATCGGATCGGCAGAGACTCTGGGGGTTTTTCACCTTCCTCTGCAATATGGGGTATGGGTCACTTGCAGCTTTAAACTAGCGTAAATGGTGGATTCTCTGTAGCTTGAAGTCTTTAAACCATGATTTGAGGACTTCAGTAACTTAGTCAGAGATTAAGGGTCTATTACAGGAGTGTGTGGGTGAGATACTGTGGCCTGCAATGTGCAGGCGGGTCAGAGTTAGGGTGACCAGACAGCAAGTGTGAAAAATCGGGACGGGGGTGGGGGGTAATAGGTACCTATGTAAGACAAAGCCCCAAATATCAGGACTGTCCCTATAAAATCAGGACATCTGGTCACCCTAGTCAGAGTAGATGATCGTGATGGTCCCTTCTAATCTTAAAGTCTATGAGTCTAAAACATATTAGACTCATTCATAGTGGCAGAAATGTGTGATTAACAAATTAATTTTAATTTTTAATAGATTCATTTTTGTAGATGAAGCCACTGAGGGAAAGTTGGAACAGGTTTAAGCTGAAACATTTTGAATGAAAGAAGATTGCAACTGTATCGCTCTAACACACACACACAGCAAAATCCCCTGTGACTAGAGAGAGAAACTTTATAATGATTTTTTTTTACATTTATATAGCACCTTTCATTCCCATAGGATCTGAAACACTTCATTAACTAAATGTGAACAGCTTCCCCACTGTAATGCAGCCGCTCACTGCATCATTCTTTGAACGTCTAGTTTGTAGTTAATACATTTCTTTCAATAACAAAATATTCCACTGCTTCTGTATCCATGCACATAGAGAAAAAGGCAGATTAAAACAATTCAGGTGAATGTGACTTTCAAAATAGTGATGCATTCTTATAAAATGGAGAACTTGTACAAATCTCTTCTACTTCCCCTCCCCATTCCTTCCTTACAGGTTATCTTTATCACAAACTTGGTACATTAACTAACTTCTCCTGCCATGCAATTTTCAAAACTGATTGTACCCCATTTTGGA